GAAATATGGTTTTTGTCTTAATCATCCAACTAATGACCATAAAACCCTCTAATAATTCAGGTTACCTAACACTAATGGCGTCACTATGTTTTCCATCACACGAGCAGTCTGGCATAATTACGCGTTGTTGTTAGTTGTTGTGATTTTGATATTTGAGAATGTGACAGAGAAAAGAAGAAAACTTAATTGTTTCATATGTCCATTTGTAGGGGTGGCCATGGGCCCAACACCTTACATCCTTCCACACATCGCAATATCAAACCTTTGGCAGGATATATTTTTAAACCAACGTGCCACTACTAGTATTCGTAATTCATAATGTATCGGGTCTAATTTTATATGATTGTCGATGTAATAATATAATTGAGTTTTGAACGTGATGTAGCATCAAAAATAACCTGGTGGACCCGGTTAGTTCCGATAAGGCCGATTCAAGGGAGCTTAAAGCCTAATTTATGTGATATACGGTATTTGTTAAAGATATTCATGCAAGTTGGTGTATATCTACTAAATTATTGAAGAACATCATAATTCTGATTTGTTGAGTAAACTATTATCTTGGGGAGTAAGTCATTAAATCCCTTATAGATAAGGGACCAGATTTATTTTATAAAGCTAAGCTCTTAAGATTACTTAAGACACACGATCAAATTATCTGTTTTTTGACTTGAGTGTCCGGCGCTTTGCAGGGCGATCTGGTTCTTGAAGACGAAAGCGATCGAGATGTCCGAACTCTCACGCAATCGAGATGAGGCGGTTCAACCGGCAACCTCGGTGAGTCAATTATTTTGGCTCATCGGAATGATATGGCGAAATGTTAGAAAAATAGACCATATATATTTCAACATGGTTTTATTTATTTATTTATTTATTTATTTTGTTAATTTAGGTTTTAAGTGATGTAGAACAAAATAATTAGATATGAGTGGTTTATTAAGAAAAAGTTTCAGTACAATGCTCAACTTTTTGAAATTGAATCGATTTAAGACTTGAATTTTGTTATTTCTAGATAGACGATATACATTTTATGTTTTTTTCTCAATTTAAAACTTAATTTTTTATTTAACTTCTCAATATAACGTGCAACTATCTTTACTTTTTTGGCATAAATATGTTAACCGACTAATTCTATTTATGATATACTTATGTGAATGAAAATATTATTTTTTTAGAATTTATATTTTACATACTTATAATAAATATATTTAGTAAATTACCTTAATAAGAAAATGAATCTATGAAAATTACGTTTATGAAAAAGTTTAACAAAGATTATTTTCAAAATTGATAACTGAATTTGAAAAATATATAATTGAAAATTATATTTATTATTAATCAAATATGTAATAAAAGTTGTGAGAATTTGGGAAAAATATGTTGTGTATAATTCAAAAGACATGTACACATATATATAGGAACATAATGAGCCTAAATCTAATCCTACAAGATATAGACAAAATATATTATAACCATATATACAATATATTCTAACATACTAATATATGCTATCCATATATACAATATATTCTAACATACTAATATATGCTATCCATATATACAATATATTCTAACACCCCCTCAAACTCAAGGTGGTATAGTAGATAGCAACTTGAGTTTGCAAAGAAGTAAGCAAAAGCGACCCGGAAGGAGAGACTTTGTGAAGACACCAGCTATCTGATCTGAGCGGCGCCACCATGAGCAGCCAGCCCATGCCCTCCTCCGCCGCCTCCACGGCGGACTCGTAGGAGACGCAACCATAATAGCTCTGCGGTGGAGTCAGCAAGAGCACGATACTCAGACTCAACAATCGAGCGGGAAACTGAGGTTTGCTTCTGACTGCGCCAAGAGACAAGTGAATCACCA